TCTTACCTTTTCTTTGCAGGAGGGTAGCTGGGGCTGATGGGAGTCGGCACGGCTCTCCCGCTTCACTGGCTTGCGCTCCTCCCACTTTCTCCCAGCAGCACTTGCGGTCGCACTATTACATGGCAACAGCGCTGACCAGGCCCCTGAAGATATAGGGCCTATCGGGTGGCCCTAAGTGTGTGGGCCACCTGATATGCCCCATTAGCGTGCGGGCCCCAGTGCAACTGCACCGGCGGCAATTCCGCCGCTATACGTGGGGCCCGGGAGGGGCATGCGCAGTGCCAGTCGCGTCTGCTGTCGCTGCCCCTTGCTGGGGAGTCCCTCGCCCCGCTAGTGTTGTACCTCTCAAAGTGCCTTGTACCAGATGCCTTTACGGATTGCATCCCGGTCATCCATGTCACCCTCCTCGTATAGAACCGCTGTCAGGGTATACGCAGGTTCCATCCTTGCTGCAGCCAGGGTCGCTGTACTGAGACAAGCATTGCCCTCAATTTATAAATCCAGGAAATGGTGTTGCCTTGTAGCTGTCCTTCTGGGCTGTGGGAATCATCCCACCGCTTGCCACCAATTGTAATGGCACCGTGGGCATAAAAGGGGTTAAAGCCGTTTAGGAGATATTCCCTTTCCAGATACAAAGGCAGCTACTGAATACACTAATCCCCCAAACAGGAAAAACGAAAGGTTTACACTCCAAACTGCCGAACAGGAAAAACCATACAAATAATCCCCCCCCAAGTACGAGACAAGGCTATATATTGAGGGTAAAGCAGGAATCTGTTTAATGGAAGCAAGCACTCACAATTTATACAATTCCCCAGGCTAGAGGCACACCCCTGGACCTGATGGTACACAGGCATACAAAGGACACAAACCAATCAAAACAATACAACAATGTCTGACACTCTAATTCATTACAGCAAAATCCTTCCCTCTGTCTGTGATATAATTACTGAACACAATGGGCTAAAGTAATTATCACAGCCAGGAAAATACACAGTTTTACCCAATATTCAAAACTCTAAAAGTATACATCATATTCACATTTTCAGAATCAGCATACTCCAAATGCAAACATACTCAAAAATCATACAATTCCCTTTAGTGGTTAAAAAGTTAGCTGGAAGTCCTTTTTGACCGACTGCAAGCATGGCTTGGGTGTGGTAAGCCAATTATCTCCAGGTACAGAACATATCTATTCACAACAACAGCAAAAATACACAAAAATACATAATTCCTATCATACTGAACAGAACCCCCACATTAAACCTATCCCCAGATAGCTTGGATCTGAGCGCTCAATATATCCAAACAGCACTCAGATCCCACGAACACAGTCAAATTGCCATGGGGTTTAAGTTTAGCAAGGGCTGATATAGAGATTGAGGAGGGACAAAGCAGCCAGTATAAACTGGTCTGGCAGTGTCCCTGTGACAATGCCCTGCTGGAGAACAATGGTACAGGAGAAGGCACATTCTCCCATGGAATCAAAGGTGCAGAATTGTGCCAGTTCCAATTAAAGGGCCAGAACAGTCTCTTAAACACCAATAAGTCCAAATAGTGTTTTTAACTGGCAAAGTCTCCCAGGGGCCATAGTCACATGACAAGAGGCCGGCAATTAGTCTTCTCCAGTGCCCAGTGGCGAGGTTAGTTTCGCTACAGTTAGGCTCCCATTTCCCTTTTAAGAATGTGCTTGTGACGCAAACAGCGTTCCCAATACTGTACAGGCCATGCCCACAATCAGAGTGTTCGGTGCGTGCCGACCACCAGGCTCTAGGAGTGTTCGAGCCACATGCGGCTAGCTTGGAGGCTTGCCAGGAGGACCCCTGTTGCCACGCAGACCGGGTAATACCGTTACAGGATTACTTTAAATTTCTTGTGAAAGTGCCATAATTCTAATCTTTAATCAACCATTGTTTGTGCTGTTCGAATGATGTGGTATCTCTTTAACATGCCCAGCTCAAAACAGATAAATAAACAGGTGATAGAGAGGTGTCAGAATATCATCTTGTCCTGCTGCTCTTCCAGAGGGAAAATCACCAGATTTTACTATTTACATTACGTAAAGTCATGTTTTTATTAATGACATGGTTTGCGAATTGCAATAAATAAAGGCGAAATGAAGGAGAAGAATGGCACTGCCGAAAGGGGTCATACGATTTTCATATTCTTTAAAGCAGCATACTGGGCAGAGTTCAGAGTGACTTAAAATAAAAGGATAGAAAACGGATTTGGGCAAAATATTTGTTTAATGATAAATGTCAAACCCCAGTCGGAGTATATGACTGTGCGTCAACATCCAGGGCCCATCCGTCTGAAACTCTCCTACAAGAGACAAGGCATAGCCAATTTAGGTGATAATTGCTTCAATGAGAGATCCTGGTTATCTGGCCAGGCATCAATGAAGGAAAGAACCACATTGACATCTCATAAAATAGAATATCAAGGTCTGGGAGGTCTACAAAATGCCTCGCAGTAAGCAACATACAAAGGGGTTATGTCCCATTGGTGCACCATTCAAACCAAAATGTCCAGCTAAAATGGCTAATTGATAAACATTGACCAAACTGTATGTCCTTCTGGAATCAAACAAAGAAGTGAGAAACTGAAGAACTAAATTTAAAGCAGCTGATAAGGGATCAAGACATTGTCCCATTCATGTATGGAGTAGGTGAGAGCCTAAGGCTGATAGAATACAAGGGAAGTCTATAACAGGGGTTCTCAACCCGCTCCTCAAGGACCCCGCATACCAGACCAGGTTTTAGGGATTACCTGGGTGTCTCTAAGGTGTTTAGAAAAAGAAAAAAAAAACACCTTAGACTCCCTTGTAATTTGTTCTGCTAGTATTAAAATATTGTGTTGGAGGCAATAGTGACAAAAATCTTTGGCCAGGTTCGCTAGAATTTTGGATTGGGATAACTCCAAAATGATGTACCTTACTGTAGAGACATTGCCCATTGTACAACATCTGACTATTGAAATGTTGAATTAGAGGCAATAGTGCCATAATTATTTGGTCAGATTCGCTATAATGTTTGATTGGGTACCTCCTACTTGATGTACCTCACATCTGATGTTCTTCGAAGACAAGCTGCGCACAGTGAAAGACCCAGCCAGCATTTCCAGACAGTTGATCTGAAGAGAAAGTTCCACCACAGACCATCTGCATCCTGTACGTATAGTCCTGTACCACAACCATACAAGCTGGCATTTGACTCTATGACGGCATCTGTTAGTGTCACGAAAATGGCCCACTCGTTCCAAGTGTCCAGATGTTGGAGTTACCAGAGCAGTTCAGGGAAAATATAATCTCTCAGGGAATAGAGTATTGCACAGGTAACACCACAAATGCTAAATGATAAAACATATATGTGACAGTCCAACCCTCTCTGACCGTCTTGGGTTCCCTTTCTCCCAGTAGTTAGCGAATAATCCTTCAAAGCAGGGTGTAGACACAAGCATAGCATAACCCCTCACACATGAGCCGAGGCTTAATGCTGGGTAGAGATCTGTTTAATGCCACACATAGCAACAGTATTCATGCAATAAAACCACTTCTGCTCAGAGGAAAAACAAAATGACAGTTAAAAGCATCAGACCGAGTTTGAAAATATGACAGTTATTAAGGGTTTAAACAGGTGTTCTGGGGAACAAAACAGTGGAACCCTTGGCCCTGGGGCTTTAGTTCGGGAATCTGTAAATCTATACAACCGGCCTCCTTCCCACACATACTGTTCTCCATCCAGTCCCCCTGGGTCAGAGATGGCCTTTTCCCGGTATCTTAGCAAAGTGGGGTCTCCCGCTACCTCTTTCCCAAAATCTTCAGGGGTGTTCCAGGGTACGGGCTCTACCGTAAGGGTTGGGGAAGCATGTCTTACCTGGGTCTCCGGAGTTTGGATAGTCACAGCATGAACCTGTAGGCATATAGGCGGAAGTAAGTGGACCTAAGTCATTTCCAAGGATCACATCTGCAGGCAAATCCTTCATGACCCCCACTTTCACAGTTCCAGACCTCACACCCCCAATCCAAATGAACCTGGGTGGTAGGAATCCTGTAGACGGCTCCCCCTGCTCCCGTATAGCAATGGATTTGCCGGGTGGCTTATGGTTGTTGAGCAAGTATCTCTGTACTAGGGTGATGGTGGCTCCTGTATCTCATAGGCCTTGCACTATCTTGCCATTAACCATCACTAGTTCTCGATTATCTCCACTGGCAGCCAGCACCAGGTTGGCCTCATGAAGGAACCCCAAGGGCTCCTCCCTGGTTAACTCCCGGGCCTCCCAGGTAGAGGACACAGGGTAGTCGATGGTGTGCACTGCTGGTCGGGAGCTGGTACCGGATGGACGATTCCACGTAGATTGGGTAGGTTCCACTGGGCAATCCCTGCGATAGTGTCCCACCTGCTTGCACCAGAAACATCTGGGTTCAATAGTTTGGGGAGGTCGACTAACGGCTGCTGGGGCTCGCTGTGGTGGTGGATAGTTGCCCCCTGACACTGGTGCTGGTGGCTTAACCCATGCTGGTTGAGGTCTGAGAGATGGTCGTTCCGGATTGCGGGCATCCATTTGTCCATCTGCAAGCCGGGCTGCTTTTTGCAGGGTGAAGGGGTTACGATCCCTCACCCATTCCTTTACATCTGTTTGTAGCAGCGAGAAAAACTGTTCAAGCAGCACCAGCTGTAATAATTCCTCCAGGGTGGTAGCTTGGCATCCATTTACCCAGTGGGTGGCTGCCCGATGCCCTATCTTAGCTGCTTATGTCCTGATCAGGAATGGCTCTGAATGCATCAGCTGCTTTACCAGAGAGCTTTCCAGACAAAATTGAAACCTGTTCCCCTTCTGGTCTCTCAAAGTCCGCCAAATAGCCATCAATCTCGTCTGTAGGCTCCTCAAATGCTTTGAATGCGCTGAAGGGAATTTTCTGCGGTTCGGGGTTAAAGCTGGAACTGTTCAGTGCAACCGCTGTAGTTCTCTGCGCCTCCACTAAGCGGATTTGTAATTAC